GGCGACAGGATGGTGTCCTCCTTTTTTCATCTTCTGCTTATAGCAGGAGCACGTGCTCCTTGCAGAAAAATAGAAAACATAGTTTGTAGCTTTCCCTTATGTCATTAAATATGTTTTCCATGTCATTAAATACATTTTGAAAATTTCATTTTTAGTAGCTGCATACTCTGACATTTTAGAAACCATTCTCTTTTTCTCAGACGTTTGTTTCCTTTTTTCTTGTTTTTTTTGCCGTCTTAAAGTGAGAGTGCTGAATGCTTTGCACGTTCGTCTTCATCCAGATTTCTGACTAGTAGAATTTTAGGAGGGTTCTTTGTAGGTCAGAGTCACTTCATTGCTAAAAAACACACGCAGCTGAGGGTCCTGTGATACCACATTGCTGTTTTCCACACCAGCACAAGGAGCCGCCTGCATAGGTAAAATACAACAGTGAGCAATATTTGTTTTGAATTGGAGGTCAGCCTGAGACAAAGGAGTGGAGATTAGCTGTCTGGAGTTCGTGCCCACTGCAGCCCTCAGCCCTGGCCTCAGCTGTTAAAATAAGTAATTGTTAAACAATTTGAGTGTGTAACCGAGGCAGAGAGAAAGTGCTAAAATAGCAGGGTGCTGAGTCTTTTTACTTCTTCTATGTGACAAAGGGCAGCCCTGGTGGTGCAGTGGTTAAGAGCTCAGCTGCCAACCGAAAGGTCAGCAGTTCGAATCCACCAGCCACTCCTTGGAAATCTACTCTGTCCTATAGAGTGGCTATGAGTCAGAATCAACTCGACGGCAACAGGATGTGACAAAGGGGTCCCTGGGTGGTGCAAACGGTTAGGCCCTCGACCACTAGGCGAAAGGTTGGAGGTTCGAACCCTCCCTAAGGCACCTCTGAAGACAGACGTGGCCATCTGCTTCCGGAAGGTCACGGCCTTGAAAACCCTAGGGAACACAGTTCTGCTCTGCACACAAGGGGTTGCCATGAGTCGGAATTGACTCAATGGCAGCTAACAAACAACATGGGACGAAAGTCTTTTTTCCTTTCCAAATTCTCCCTTCTCTCAGAGCGGAGGGCACGGCCGTTACACAGCGGGGAAGTTGCTGCCAACTTGTTCCTCCTGAGAGCTGACATGTGGGGCCCTGGCCTGACTGCAGGAATTGGCCTGCAGTGGGATTTCAGGAGGTGCCATCCGGAGTCCAAGAGCAAGCAGAAGGGAGGTGGGATTGGAAGAGCAAGGTGTAAGCAGTACACACTGGCATCGAGTCCCATGCCCAGAAATACACCCTGACTGATTCACTCATTCTTTCAACCAGGGCAGTGGAAAGAGACTGGACTTGGTTGGGGGACCTGGGTCTGAGACCCAACTTTGCCATTTCCTAGATGAATGGGGCGTACCGGGCCTATCTACATCTCAGAGTTAATCCTGAGACTCAAAACAAAAATGAAACCATGGATGTGCAACCACTTTGAAAACCCTAGAACTCAAACAACTACCAGTTTGGCAATGTGTAAGGGACAGAAGTGGAAATGCGGCAAATACAAAAGAAATAGGCATTTACCTGTTTGTATTACCTTGCTGCAACAAGAGCCTACGATTAGGCTGTAATTGTCAGTACAATAGAGAGTCTACCCATTGCAATTGAGTTAATTCTGACTCATAGGACAGGGCAGAACTGTTCCACAGGACTCCCAAGGCTGCAAGCTTTACGGAAGCAGACTGCCCCGTCTCCGTCCCACAGAGCAGCTGGTGGGTTTGGTTAGCAGTCGAGTAATTAACCACTGTGCCACCAACCCGTTGCCCATGAGTTGATTCCGACTCATAGCGACCCTATAGGACAGAGTAGAACTGCCCCACAGAGCTCCCAAAGAGCGGCTGGTGGATTCGAATTGCCAACCTTTCGGTTAGCAGCCTGAGCTTTTAACCGCTGGGTCACCAGGACCCCCCTGTGCCACCAGCGCTCCTTAACAGAAAGTCTAGAGTTTCCCAAATGTATTTGACCCTAGAACTTTTGATTTGCATTATACCTATTAACACCTACACCTTAGGAAACTGGGATTGGTGGTTTGATTTTATATAAAATGTAAGGTCTGTGAAGGCCTGCACTTTATCTGCCTTGCACCCTGCCATACCCCCAGGGCATAAAACAGCTGCTTGCATACAGTATCAAAAAAAAAAGAAAACCCGTTCCGGAGTAGAACTGCCCCCATAGGGTTTCCAGCAAGCAGCTGGATTCAAACTGCTGACCTTTTCTGGTTAGCAATCAAGCAGTTAACCACTCCGCCACCACGGCTCCGTATAGTAGCTGCTCAATCAAATGTGTTGGTAATGAATATTTTCCATTAGACATTTGAAAATGCTGCTGTTGTCAGTTGCTATCACGTAGGTTCCTACTCACGGCAACTCCGCGTACAACAGGATGAAATGTTGCCCAGTCCTGCGCTAGCTTCAAAATTGCTGGTATGCTCAAGTCCATTGTTGAGGCCAGCATGTATTTTGAGTGCCTTCCAGCCTACAAGGCTCATCTTCCACCACTATATCAGACAATGTTCTGTTGTGATCCATAGGGCTTTCATTGGCTAATTTTTGGAAGTAGATCACCGGTTCTTTCTTCCTAGTCTGTCTTAGTCTGGAAGCTCCACTGAAACCTGTCCCCCAGGGGTGACCCTGCTGGTATTTGAAATACTGGTGGCAGAGCTTCCAGCATTACAGCAACAGTCAAGCCATCACAGTATGACAGACTGACAGATGGACAGTGATATTCAAACATAGTTTGCAAAGTGGAGTGAAAGAGGAGTTTTCATTCACGGCTAGTGAAAGTGTAAATTGGTAAAAACTTCTGAAAAGCAGCTGGGCCTCATGCCTCGAAGGCTTCAAAGTGCTCATAGAGCCTCACCACGTTGCGCCAGTTCTGGAAATTATCCTCAATAGGAAGAAAAAGTGTGCGTCTAAAGATGCCCAAGCTCAAAGCAGTATTGTTTAAAATGTTTTTTTAAAAATTGTAAACCACTGGGATTACGCTAAAAAATCATGGCAGGATGAAATCACAAAATATCTACTTGGTGGATTATCCTATAGCCATTAAAATGATGTTGACAAAAATGTTATAGCTTGAAAACACGCTTATATTACATTAGAAGCATGTATTCACAAGATACTAAATTTTATACAGATTATGAATATATCTATGTATAATAAAAACAAACGCAAAATAGAGAACTAACATTATTTAATGCCACTCTGTCAGGCAGTTGTTCTAAGTATTCACGTATATTAACTTCTTTATTTTTCCTAACAGCTTACAAGGCAGGTATTATTATAATACCCATTTTATAGATAAAACCGAAGCACACAGAGGTTGTATAATTCGGACAAGTTCTCAGGTAGCTGGGACTCAAGGCTGGGCAGTTTAGCTTACAGTGCCTGGGCTCTTAGCCACTACACACACTGCCAAAAAAAAAAAAAAATCTTGGTACACCAAAACATTGACGAAGGCTGCCTCTGTGTGGTAGCAAAAAGGACAATCACGTTCTTTCTACTTTTCTGCATTTTTACAAGTTTTCTGTAGTGATGCGAAAACTGTACTCTAAAAGGGTAAATTAATTAATTAATCTGCATTCCTATCATGGAAACCCTGGTGGCGCAGTGGTTAAGAGCTATGGCGGCTAACCAAAAGGTTGGCAGTTTGAATCCACCAAGCTGTTCCTTGGAAACCCTATGGGGCAGTTCGACTCTGTCCTGTAGGGTCCCTATGAGTCGGAATCAACTCGATGGCAATGGGTTTGGTTTTGTTTTTGGTTTCCTATCATAGATTTGAGCATAATTTTTTTTCATTGACTATAAAAAACAAAACCCAAACCCGTCGCCGTCCAGTCGATTCCGACTCATAGCGACCCCATTCTTACCACCAGGGAAGCCAGCCTGCGCTCTGCGATCCGACTCTTCTCCACGGAAGGAAAAATTAGGGTAAGCTGCATTTGGGGAGACATGGGCTGAAGATAGGTTGTTTTTATGAATGCGGAGAAAGTGTCCAAGGCTAGGGCTGGGTTCTCGGTTTCAATACCATGTTTGTTTAAACCTCATTTCTATTTTCGATCCGGTTCTCTGATAATCACTCTACCCTACCCAGAATCACGAATTTCGGCAGCAGAAACTCACACGCCCTCACAAACGAACAGGTCAGGGCTACACCCAGGTGAGACGGGGGAAGAGAGCGGAGGGGCAGCAGCGGCCCAGGTGCAGGGCCCAGGTGAGCTGTGTGCGCTCCTGGCGCTCGTACACCATTTGGGAATGGAAGGGGGAAAAAAGCACCACTTGCGTCGAGTCAATGCTGACTCCTAGAGGCCGTATAGGACACAGAAGAACTGCCCCATAGGGTTTCCAATGAGCAGCTGCCGGTGGATTCGAACTGCTGACCTTTCGGTTAGCAGCCAAACGCTTAACCATTGCGCCACAAAGATGCTGACGATGACTGTAAAATGGAACAAATGCCACTGTATTTATCTAAATGTAAATTTTAAAAACAAGGACAGTGAATCCGTTCTACAGAAAGGGCCGCTTGGTCAGTAACTCAAGAATTTTCATTTTCAGCTGCTGTCAGAACTCACTAGCCCCACCTCCAGCCCTCCGGGTCCCGCTTTGGCCCCTGGCTTCTGAGGACTACAACTCCCAGCCTGAGGGAGGCAACTGCGCATGCGGCATGACACTCGCGCCTACATTTCCCAGCGTGCCGAGCGCTTACGCTGACGCGCGCGTGCGCCCTCGCGTCTTTCCGGCCCGTTCCTAGGTTTTGACCTACAGCTGCCCGGGAGAAGATGGCTGGCCGAGCGGTGACCGGGTTCTGTCTCCAGGTGAGGGAACGGAGTCCCAAAGCGAGCAGGAGGATCCCTGACGGGGAGATCAGTACCACACCCCCAAGCGCCAGAGTGCGAGGCCATGGCTGGCAAGCATGGCGGCCGTTGAAGATCGTGGGGCCCGGCGATGGGAGCGGCTCGGGCGCCCCTTTTTCCCCCGGGACGCTCGCGGGGCGGTGGGCGCCGAGACCTTGGCGTCCTCCGAGCACAGCCCGGGGAGCAGCGGCTTGAGAGGCTCACAGGAGGGTGGCCGGGCTTCCCTGGACTCCGAAGGACGGACGTGGCCCATCCCCAAATCGTCTTCCTGTGCTGTTGCGGCAGAATTGACGGGTAGCCAGCAATGCGAGGGGATACTGCAGAGCACGTTGTCCATTTGTATAAGGACAGTGAGACGCAAGGGTTTACATGGCTCGTCTGTGGCAGAGCTGAGAGTCGGAGCCACGGAGAAGATCGAGTTGGAAAAAAATTGTGCGCTTTATACTCCACCTCACTGTGATGTTTTATGTATCATGACAGATTAGTAATTTTTCCGTAAAGGCCTAATCGTCATAGCCAGTGTGGATATAGTACACTCCCGAGCTGGGGGTACTTGAGGGGAACTGCCCCTTGCAGGTGCTCATTTTTAAACGGGGTTCCAGCTCTGTCCCTTAGTAGACAAGCTGCCACCTCTCAGAACTAGAGCTTGTTCTCAGATCAAGCTCGGTTTGCTGCAGTACTCAGAGAATTTTTGTTTTGAGATATTATTTGGATCCCCGAGAAGGTACATCTCTGGCAAATCATGACTGGAATCCTCCCAATTTTTATTAAAATCCTGCTCAAGAGTGTAGTTGTATAAATACCAAAAATCTTGTTTAAAAAGAAATTTTTTTTTTTAAAACATGCAGTTCATCAAAATTCGTGTTTTCTGTCTCACACCATGTGCTAGCCTTAGCAGTTCCCAGCAAAGTTAGTGAGAAGGTCAGTTCCCAGACAACTGGATGATTCTCACTGGGGAAACGGACTCGTAGGTAATAAAGAACAGCTCGCCCTCCTGTAATCTATGTGCTGGTACAAAGAAAGCTGATCCTTTAAAAGTCATATTTGAAATTTTATGATTGGGTTAAGTGTAGAAATTCTTCAAGTAATCTCAGGTGGTCTATTTTGCTTTATTGTTTCGAAGGTGCGGTGCTTCAGTACATCTGTGACCAGGCCATTTGCCAAGCTCGTGAGGGTATGTTAATTTATGTTCTGTTGTAATTGGAAGGCAGATGAAAGTGAGTCAGACAGCAGTGCAGTTACGGGCACGAACTTCCTGCGTAGTTGCTGTTTAAACCTTTTCTTCATGGTTTGTGGTTCCCAAAATGTGATGATGATGTGTTTGGGATGGGAACAATGTTGAGTGCCTGCTGTGTGCCAGGCCCCTGCACGACCTTTAAATGCAAGAGCTTAACCGTTCTCATAACAGTGATGGGGAATAACTGTTATTCCCATTTTACAAAAGGGCAAACTGAGAACTGAGGTTCTAGGAAAAGGGTGACTCAGTTTGGTCTTAGAGCTGTTACTGGAACAAAGTCTGCCTCATTCAAAGCCTGAGCTATTTTCACTACAACCATACAGCCAAAAAACAAAAAACTGAACCCATTGCCCTCCAGTCAATTCTGATTCGTAGCAACCATATAGGACAGAGTGGCACTGCCCCCATAGGGTTTCCAAGGAGCAGCTGGTGGATTCGAACTACTTACCTTTTGGTTAGCAGCCGAGATCTTAACCACTGCGCCACCGGGGCTCCAGCCATACAGCACCACTAGGAATACGCAGTTATACACTGGTGGTAGTGTGTAGAAGAAAGCCTATAGTGTATTGTGAAAAATAATTCCAGCATTAGACACTAAGTAAATTTAGAGGGCTCCATTGAACTGAACATTGATGGGGAGGCTCTGTAAGGGGAAATTTATAGTGTTACTATGAGATGTATAAAAATATGCTTCTATATATTTCATAAACAACTGTTTTCCTGGCTCTGACATGTTCAAAACTGCCTTCTGTCAATGTTTAAAACCTCTCATACATGGAACTTTATAGTTAACGAGTACAAAGGAAGCATAAGCAGATCTCAAAGTTAAAGTAACTGCATTGTCGCCAGTTAGAGCAGGGAGGGACTTTAGGCGCCAGCTCTTCTAAGTCCCTCATGAGACAGACGACGGGCTGCAGGCTCAGAGATGGAGCTGCCTGGCCAAGGAAGCAGCCCTGGTTTGTTTGAGAATTGCAGTTTAGGATATATTTAGCCTGTTTTGTGCTAAAAAGTGTAAGTTAAAAATTGGAAACATCTGATCTCCTGTTGACAGTCCAGTGTTGTCTTACGGGGTTTCCCTCTTCCTCCTCTCCTCGCCCCTTTTTGTAGCCACCCGTTCAGGCCCACGGGGTCGAAGGTCGCTATGCCACTGCTCTTTATTCTGCCGCCTCCAAACAGAAGAAACTGGATCAAGTAGAAAAGGAGCTATTGAGAGTGGCAGTAAGTGGCTTTCTTGTTCCTTACGTACGAGGTTGCCATTTGTGGGGTTTTTTTCCTTTAGTTACTTGAATATGCATCCCTGAGGAGGTATACTTTAAGGAGGGGAAAGAAGACCCTGAAGCTGTTTTCTGTGAACACGTTGTTAGTAGTAGGCACCAGATATTATTCTGAAACTATTGTGTACCTATTAAAAGAACAAACAAATATAAGGATATTAGTATTAGGAACCAAGATTTCAGATAAGAGATACAAATATAAAATCAAAATATAACATGGTGGTTTAAGAGAAAATTACAGTTCAGAAATCTGATGTGTTCTGCAGTGTGTGACACGTAGCCTGTTACCTGACTGTCACAGGTCAGAGACAGGTAAGATTCCGGCAGGAGTCTGGGGGAAGGTGCTGGCAGAACAGTTAAACCAGAGGTAGATGTGTACCACTGAAAGGGCCTAGGTGGAAATGGTCGTTGGTAGGCGGGACTGGAACTCTGGCCTGATAGCAGGAGCAGCTCAGAGCTGGAAGAATCCATGCTTTCGTGATTTGACAATGCAGACAAAGTGGTCTTGCCCGTGGTGGTGGCGCGCCATGGTGGTGGCTGCACGCCGTGGTGGTTGGTGGCACGCCATGGTGGTTGGTTGCGCGCCGTGGTGGTTGGTTGCGCGCCGTGGTGGTTGGTTGCGCGCCGTGGTGGCTGCACGCCGTGGTGGCGGCACGCCGTGGTGGTGGCACGCCCGGTTGTTGTCCATCCCCCTCCCTCCCTCACTGAGCTGCTGCTGCTGTTAGTTACCATCTAGTCAACTCCAACTCCTGGCGACCCCGTGTGTGCAGAATAGAACTGCTCCATAGGGTTGTCAAGGCTGTGACCTTTCTGGAGCAGATTGCCCAGGCCTTTCTTTCAAGGTGCTTCTGGGTGGTTTTGAACCTCCAACCTTTCAGCTAGTGCTTAACCATTTGCATCACCTAGGGACTCCTGACTCACTGAGGCCACGCTGGAAACGCCAGAGTTATGTCTCTGGTGTCTCCTAGGGCCGGGGTGGTACTTCCAGAGCTCTGCATGAGGCCAAACAGAATCAGAGGGTCCGCCTGGGACAGACAGGTCCGTCTCCAGGGGAATGGCTAAGGAGGCCAACTTTGCAATGAGAGCACCTTTTTGGGGTCTGCGCTCGCGGGATCCCATTGCCAGATCCTCTTAGGATTTGAAACACTAGAGCATTACCCGTATTAAACACGCAGACATGTGGAGTGAGTTGAATCTTTTGGCTGCTTTGTTTGCCATAAGCTTTCCTGAAAAGCAAAAATACATTTACGAAACTTCATAACATGTCTTTAAATTTCTTCCAAAAACAACTCATTTTCTATAAAATAGTGCAGTGTATTCTTAAAGGCAGAAGAAATTATTTGTGCTAATATGTGCTAATTTAAGTAATGAAATACATGATTCATAGCAAGTATGTGTATGGCTCTGGATATATGTATGTGCTTATGCTCTAAAAGTTTAAGAAATGCTTTGTTGGTACTTTTAGCAACTTCTGAAGGACCCCAAAGTGTCTCTTGCTATTCTGAATCCCTATGTGAAGCGTTCCATTAAAGTGAAAAGCCTCAAGGACATCACAGCAAAAGAGAGGTTTTCTCCCCTCACGTCCAACCTGATCAGTAAGTACCAGAACTTTTTCATTTGGAGCCTCTTAAAGCTTTGCTCATCGAAATGCAGTCCGTGGACTAGAAGCAGCTGCATGTCATCTGGGTGCTTGTTAGAAATGAAGCTTCTTGGGGCTCCCCCGACCTGCTAAACTATAACCTGCATCTGAGATAGATCCCAGGTAGATTTTTTGCACATTAAAGTCTGAGGAGCTCCGTCTAAAGGTCGTAAGGATGTCTTCATTGCCTAGTCGTGGTTTCAGCTCACATGGGAGACCAGTGGGGTTCATACCAAGAAAATGTTCTGTGGCCCGTGGCCTCCCCTCTGACCCTGAAGACACTTGTGTCCTTTGGTACGAGAGCAAACAGGAACGTTTAGGTTGCTTTTCAGATCCCCCATGGCCAGCCCAGAATACGAGCCCCACAGGAAGTGTGTTCACGTCGTCAGCTTTGCGTACAGACGGTGTGTTCGTCGGGGGGTTGGTAGCCACGCACTGGAATCCGTGACAGAAATAGGAAGCTCAGGTTACGGATGAGTGCAGGTCTGTTGCAGGTCTGTGCGGTCACTAGCTTCAGTGCTTGTCCGTGCGGTCTTTGTTTTTGAACACCAGCTGTACTTTTTAAATAACAAGTTACATTTCTTCTCCGTTCTCATTCTTGAAGGACGTTATTGTAGGGGTTTAAGGGCACAAGACTAAGGTAGCTTTTAGAGTGTGTGCCCTTGCTCAGGAATCACCTCTCCCGGTGAGTTTCGTGTCACTGAGAGACCTTCCCTTCCCCAGATCTGCTTGCTGAAAACGGCCGCTTGAACATTACCCCGGGAGTCATTTCTGCCTTCTCGACCATCATGAGTGTCCACCGCGGGGAGGTTCCTTGCACGGTGACCACCGCCTCTGTAAGTGTGGGTTTTGCCGCTGTGTTTGCCTTGACATTACGTGCATCACACTGGGTGGAAAGAAAGGGGGAAAACAGGCGAAAAATCAGGAAATGAGGAGCCGTGACACCTGGGAGGTTTGTTTCATTCTTCTGCCAGCTTCTGTGGACTCTGTTCTTGAAGGGCCTTGGTGTACCTGTTCATACTCCTATAACCCAGGGTTATTCAGAAGGACTGTAGACTGGTTGAAAATCTAAAGAACATTAAAATGTGTTAGAAAATAATGGCTTCTGCTCCATCATGGGTTTGAGTTATTCTGTAAATACCACGAGACAGATTGTCCGTTCTTCTGGCAGAGTCTACAGCGTATTCAGTATTCTTTGCCAACAGCGTAATTCAAAGGTGTCCGTTCCGAACTGAGTCTTCCTTACTCACTATCCAGCTTTCGCAGACGTATCGTCACCATCAGCCATTCCCTGGGAGCCAGCCCGCTGTGGCTGCAGTGGGACCCTGACGGTGTAGCACAGCTGAGGCGCTCACTGCCCACGCGGCTACATCTCAGTTATTACAAGGACAGGACTTCTTTTAAGGATGCTTGTTTTTAGGACCTACTATTACTAATGCTTTTACTATTGAGATTCCTGGATAAATAACTTTTTTCTACTGTTTTAAAATTTTTATTATATCATGATTTGGTGATTAAGACATAGGCTTTAGAGATACACAGGCCACTTTCACATATTGACACTGGTCCTCACGTGCTGCTGTGACCTTGGGCAAGTTTCTTAATCCCTTTGACACTCAGTTTCTTTCATAAATGGCAATAATAACCAGCTGCCCCGCGAGATTGTCAGGATTAAAGGAGACGTTCATGTAAAATGCCGGCCACAGACCTAGTGCCTGCGACGTGTCAGGATGGAAGAACTGCTTCTGAAGTCACTGACCTCGGAGTCGCAGCAAATAATGTTTTGACTGAACATTGATAGGTACCACCACCACCACCCCGACCCCCAGGAAGGCCACTGTTAGATCTTTACAAGGATGTTGAGATTCTTTGTGAGTTCTTTGGACCCTCGGACCAGGGGTGGGGAGGTAGGATTTGTGATAGATAAAAGGCCTGTCCTTCACCCGCCTTTTTCATGGTCCAACCTAACCAGGAGTAAGAGTCTGACAGAGGAGGGAACTCAGTCTGGATGTTCAGTGGGTGCTTGCTGTGTACGAGCAGGTGTCAGGGTGCTGCCGTCAGGAGCGGGCCAGCTCCCCAGGCTCTCAGGGAGGTGGAGGGAGTGACATGCTGGGGCTCCAGGGAATTGGAGCTGGGGACACACAGCTGATAGAGGTGGCAGGACCAGCCTAAACTGCAGCTCTCATCAAAGGAAGTCCTCGGCTGAAGCCCTGACCACGTGGACTGCCCAGAGGGGAGGCCTGCATCCTCAGGCCGTGCAGACTTCAGCGGTTTCCCTCCTGATCATCTCCAGCGTGCACGGCTGGTGCCACAGAGCAGACGGGCCGGGAGTGGCGTTTGTGGAGTGACTGCACTGGTGCCCGTGAGCTCCAGGGCCTCCATGTGGGAGCGCCGGCCTTGGTGTGCCCGTGCGCCTCTGTAATAGGACTCACGAGGCCTTGCTTGGGCATTTTTTCCTTTCCCTTTACTGGGAAGTTTCTGTTTTGCTTTACCTAAATGGTTTTGTCCTTTTTTTTTAGCCCTTAGACAGCGCCTCTCTTTCTGAATTAAAAACGGTCCTGAACAGCTTCCTACGTCCCGGCCAGGTGTTGAAGTTGGAGGTTAAGGTAGGTTTTTAGTTGTTTATGGCATGTTTCCTCGGGGTGCTGGAAACTGAAAATGGCTGCAGAAAGTACTAGCGGAAATTTAGATCCGGGATCTACCGATTTGCCTCTGGTGTATTTATTTTATAAAAATAAACATTATATATTTATTCTTGATTTAAATGATTACTTGATTCCATTCCTAATGTTCACATCTGCCTTTTCCTAGGCATAATTATAATGGTTTCCATTTGTGTAGCACATTTAGACTTTTCAAAGCACTTTTCGTCTGTTCAGGTGATTAATGGAATAACATCGGTGTGTTTTCACATTATTTTCTTTCCTAGACTGATCCATCGATCTTGGGTGGAATGATTGTCCGTATTGGTGAGAAATACGTTGATATGTCTGCAAAATCAAAGATTCAGAAGCTGAGCAAGGTTATGCGAGAGACTGCGTGAAAGTGTTGATTTTCCATCACCAGTGAAAATTCTTCAGCTTGGAGCGTCAATAAAATGCTTCCTGAACAGACCATATTAAGTGTATTGTTTTTAAAGCAGAAATACAGTGAGCCTGATACCTTTTTTCAGTATCCCCTTCATCTACAGGTTAAAAATCCCTTCTGGCTGGAGAATTTGGTTCATGTGGATTATTGTTAGGAAGTGATGGAAGTTTGTGTCTGTCAGGAAGGATGTTGCTTATCGAGGCCTCTTCAGACTTCAGGCGCTGTAAGTGCTAAATGTATCTTACCTTATTCCTTGGTCTCTGAGCCCGGAGCCTGGAGAGGGGCTCAGCCTGCAGGTGGAGCAAAGGTACCAGGGAGCCAGGCAGGTCGTCACCTTTCAACTTCAACTCTTGGTCCCCATCTCTAGTCAGGTACTGAAGGTGGTTCGCCGAGCCCCCAGAACCCAGGCTGGCCAGATGTTGGCGGAGGTCCTGCCCCTTGGTCCTGCCTGTTGTCTAAGGCTTTGCCAGCCAACCAGTGGGGCGACCGGAGCACTCTTCCCACAGGCTGGGAGCCAGACCCAGGAAATAAACCTGGTTGCATCTGATGATCATGAGTTACCCTGAAATTTCCTATAGAGATTCTTCAGTGATAATTACGAGTGAGAGCGACCTCAGCACAGTTCAGATTATAAGCTGTCTCCCGTTATGGGACCAAACCTATGCCTTTGCAGCCACAGTGGATGCGGTGGTCCACTCCAGTAGTAACCCCTCCCTTCCAGACTGAAGAGGACTTAAGTGGAGGATAAGGACCACTCCACAAAGTTTGTCCAAATTTACCCCTTACGGGCCAGGTGTTGCAGTGTTTGCTGTCTCCACACCACCAGAAAGACCCATAAATTGAAGGCCACTGTACCTCCAGTGACTGGGAAGCAGTAGGCATCATGGTTAAGAATGTGTGTCTTGGAATCACCAAGATGGTATATGTCCAGGATACGAAGTGATGATGCCTGCTTCACAGAGTGACGGGAGATTAATACCGGGCTCACATGTATAGACCTGGTGGCGGTTACTGGCTCAACTATAATTCTCTGTGCTGTCTGACCCCAAGGACTGATGGATTAAACACAGCGGCTGATGCATAGCAGTCACTGAAGAGTGTCTGGTACTGCCTGCCAAAATCTCAGGTCTGCAAGGGGGTGTTCCAAAGCTTGGTCCCTAGTAGGTCATTAGGGAGGCCTAGTGGTGCAGTGGGTAAGCACTCGGCTGCTAACATAACAGTTGGTGGTTTGAACCCACCAGCCGCTCCACAGGAGAAAGATGTGGCAGTCTGCTTCCGTAAAGATTACAGCCTTGCAAACCTTCTGGGGCAGTTTTACTCTGTCCTGTAGGGTTGCTATGAGTTGGGACAGGTTCTCTAGAGAAGCTAAACCAATAAAGCATGTAAATATATACAGGGAGAGATTTATGTTAAGGAAATGGCTCACGTGGTTGTAGAGGCTGGAACGTCCCAAGTCTGGGTCAGGCTGGAAGCTTCTGATTCACATAGCCGCAGGGGCTGGTGAACCCCAGATCGACAAGCCAGACAGCAGGGCCCTGGCTCAAAAGCTGTGAGGACTGATGAATCCCAAGATCGGCAGGCAAGACTGCAGGTAAGCTGCTAGCTGAAGTCCCAAGAACTGGAGGTCAGATGAACAGGAGCCAGCTGCAGGATCCAGCGTGAGCAAAAGCCCAAGAGCCCTGCTAGAAAGTCCACTTACATTCGATGCAAGCCACACGCCCAAGTTAACTCCCTTTCAACTGATTGGCTACTCATAGCAGATCCCATCAGGGAGGTGATCACATTATATCAAATCTCATCATGGAAGGGATCATGTCATACGACTGCCAAACTACATCATAACTGCCAAACGACAGAATCACGGCCCAGCCAAGCTGACACACAGCCTTAAAGCAATCACAGTAGGTCATGAGGATGACTTGCTCCATTGATCCCCCTCCAGAGAGCTCTCCCTAGTAAAAGGCCGTTAGTCTGATGTGACACCACCTAATGGTAAGATGGAGCCCTGGTGGTGCAGTGGTTAAGAGCTTGGTCAGCAGTTCAAACCCACCAGCTGCTCCTTGGAAACCCTGTGGGGCAGTTCTACTCCGTCCTGTGGGGTCACTGTGAGTCGGAACCGACTCGACAGCACATAACAACAACAACAATGGTAGGATGGAGCCCTGGTGGCATAATGGTTAAGAGCTCAGCTGCTAACCAAAAGGTAGGCAGTTCGAGTCCACCAGCCACTACTTGGAAACCCTAGGGGGAAGTTCTACTCTGTCCTATAGGGTTGCTATGAGTCAGAATCAACTATGGCAATGGGTTGGGTTTGGCTAATGGTAGGATGCCCTGCGGCTTTCAAGGCCAGTTCATGTTTATATTATTAAGCTTCATAACTGCCTAGTGATACAGGTGGGGCAGACATCACCCCACTTCACAAACGAGGAGAGAGATTGAGGGGCCCAAGAGCTTTGCCCAGGCCACATGACTGGACAGCTGGTGGGTCAGGCCCCAGGCCCAGGTCTTCCTCTGTCTCATGCTTGTTCCACCACGTCATTAACACCACACCCTGGCACATGACCTTTCCATCCCTGGAGCCAGTGGGCAAAGCTTATCATAGGTGAGCCCCGTGCCTCTTCCTACTTTGTCGGCAAGATGCTCCCAATTCACCCATTAACTAATCTCCCAGGTCAGCTCTTCCCCCTGCATTTTTTTCCTCCTCTTGGTCTTCTCGAGAAAATGGAGTTCCCCACACAACAGCTGTCTTGGGTACTGATTCTTTGGTCACCCTCCCCCAGTCTTTGGCCGGCAATCAAGAGTCCCTTCCCACACCACCTCTGGTTGGGCAGGGGCAGGATGACTGCAGCCAGGAAGTCCTGCAGGGCAGTGATGTGGCCCGAGTGCTGGGACCAGTGCGCCCCCATCTGGCATGGCCACTGCCCTGGCTGTCATTGTCAGCGTCAATCTGGCTTATTCCTGGCACACCAGCTAGTGTAACTGACGGAGACAACGTGTGGGGGCCTCTTAGTACTTTCCCGGAAGCCAGGCATGCTGAGACTGCTAGTTGTCCCAACTATCCACTCACTTAACTTTTACCTGGGTACGCGGCCACCCAGCTAGCGACGACATCAGCCAGGCCCCTTTGGCGGTACCTGATCATGTAACCAAGGTCCAGCAAATGGATGAGGTGAGGAAATGTGCCACTTCCTGGTTTCCCCTCATGAGGAAAGGGCATGCAGTCCTCTTCTCTCCCCTTCCCGCTGGCCAGATGCTGAGAGCTGGAGCAGCCACCCTCCAAGTTAAAAGCCAGGTCCTGACACAGGCGGAGCCACCCTTCCGGACCTGGGCTGTGAACCTCTGGGCTGTTAGCATGAGGTGGAAACTAACCCCTCTCTTGTTGAAGTCATGGGTGTTGGGTGTCAGTTTCACAGCTCAGTCTGTCACCAGCCAATGCTCCAGACTTCCCAGCTTGCCACTTGGGCAGGAACGGTGTGTAAATCACTGTAAGAGCAAGAGGCGTCCGCAGACACGTGGCAGCTGTCATGGACAGAATGTCACGGGGAGACCCTCTTGCTGGGATGTCAGAGAGATGAGCCAGCGATGGCCGCCATTATTGGCCCCAGGTGGTTGACCTTGTCAAAGCAGGCTATGCCCGTTAGTCTAAAAACCCACCGGTGCGGCCAGTGGGCTTTATAGACTAAAAAAAAACCATCCAATCGCTTTTAAAATAGCCAAAATACGCACATTTTTAGCCCCTTAAGAGTTTGCATGCTTTTTGTACCCGGAAAAACTGCATTCAACATCTGCTAGCCTTAGATAAGATACAACGCTGTAGTTATAAGGACCCCGGGCTGTCTCTGTCCTTTGGAGCTCTCTAAGGGATGTCACCTAGATATACGTAAGCCCCCCACCCCCTTCTCCTCTCCCACGGGAGCTCCCTTGCCCTCTTCCCCTTCAGGGGCTCCCTACACTGCTGGCCTCTGGGGAACTTTCTGCTGGGGGGGGGGGCACCCCTGCATGCAAGCTGGTAATGCATCAGCCCCAGCACATGGCAACACTGCCATCTTGTGGTCACGTCTTTTTCCCTGCTCAACCCTGAACTCCTGCAAACTCACTGCATTGGCAATACTGCCCAAATTCTTCAAAATCAGACTCCACAGTCTTCCTGTTGGTTAAGTACGTATAGCCCAGGCATGCTAGAAATGGGAGGAAGTTAATGGAACACTTCCCATATTGCCTTATGAGGTCGTCAGCAATTAACCCAGAAATCTGTGTGCAATGGTACTCTGCACAGCATTTTCTATCATTTTTAAGACAACCTAAACATGTAGTCATTCAGGATTGTTTAAATAAATTCGGATACTTTCATACAATGGGGTGTATACTATACAGTCCTTAAAAATCAAGTTGTGGAAAAAAATATATACTTGTTCTTAAAAGAAGGCAATCAAACACAATGGGAGATAATTTATATAAATTATGTAACTGAACAATGACTGGTATACAGGAAGTGCTCAATGTGTATTAGCTATTATTATAGAATAATAGCATTAAAACACACACAGAAAAAAGTACAGGGATGACAGGCATCAAAATGGTAACATCGCTCTTTGTGTGGAAGAATACCTCCACTAAGTGATTTTATTTCCTTTGTAATTTTATGCCTTTGCCAAATTTTCTGCATTAACAAGCTTTACTTCTGTAATTACAAAAAAAAACAATAAATACCTTAGAATAAAATACTGCTTTGATAATGCTAGCTACTGAATTTGGTTAAATGATCGTCTATTCAATATGCTTTATACCAGTGATTCTCAAGGGGGGGCCTTGTCAAAGGAGAGAACTAAGGGTCATTTGGGAAAGTAATTTACTATTTTATTTGTTTTTAATGATACTTAAATTTATTTTTAAAACCTCAAATAACGACCAGAATAAGAGCATAAGATTTTTATGGTTATCAGAAATGGAGTCTATTGATTCAACAACAACAAAAAAGGCAAAGATACACTGCTTTAGCGTCAGTTTTTTTTTCAAATGTGCTATAACAATTCAATTAGTGTCCAACCCAACCAGTGAATTTAAAGGACTTGTTTATATTCAGATAAATCAGTGATGAAATAGGAAGGAATTCCCTTAAAACCAGAACAGAAGAAAATGCTATAAATAATACAATAAAATTCAGGTAACAAAATTCAATGTTGGGTTTGCTGGCAGCTCCGAGAGTTAAAAAGTCAAAGTTCTGAAAGTGCAGTTGTTTCTGTTAGAAACTTCTTCATGGAAAGCCAGAGTAATCCTTCTGAATGTCTTTTTAAGACAAACTTCCTTTCTCCTCCTCTCCTCCCCTCCCCGG